AAGACGTAACTTCAAACGCTTCCACAGTTCTCCCCAGATAAAGCAGCTGTAGGTTCCAGTTACCAATGCCAGCAGAGGAATGGGAAGCATCAATCAAATTACCTAATAACAGTGGTACCAGCTGTACTAAGAGATTAATAATAATTCTGCGAGCATGTCTCTGATTCACTGCCAATAAGAGGATAGGAACAATCTTCCAAATAACACAAAACAAACAAATCCTAAAATATTTATTTGTTCCCATCTTTTGCTTAGTTAGGAATCAGACTACATTTAGAAGCTATTAAGATTGGCTTTGGGATAAAAGAAATTCTGATTGTCCTTCCCTGCTATTTTGTAAGCTGGCTGTGCTGGGATATACATCTGGGAGTTAGATGGGTTTTGGAGAGGTTTTGCTGTTTCCACTACGACTGTTTTGAGAGCATTGGGGTGGAGAAATCTGATTCTGAAAACCTATGAACTACCACTACACATAACCTCCCCTCCTGCCTCTTCCTTTTCTTAGTTAGCCGTAGTTATTACTTTCTGACTTTTGATTGACTCTGAGATAGTTGACTTTTATAACATTACCTGTCGATATTTTCCACTTGTCAGAGGAACCATCTTTGAGTTATCATATGAAAACTACATGGGTTTGTCGGCAAACTGGAAAAGGAAAGTATCTGTTAGTTGGCTGGTTCCTCAACTGTCCAAAAGTCTTTTTAAGGATTTGCAAGAGATGTAAACCAAAGGAAAAAACAGCGCTGAAATGCAGAGGGGATTAATGACTTTTGGGTTTTTATTCTAACCTATGCATCTTTTTATCAGATGGATGTTAATTTTGTAATGTGGGTTTACAGTTTGTAAAGCATAGAGCTTGCTTTGCTGAGAGACTAAACCTGCAGCAAGCTGGCCTTACTCCCACGTTATTTCCATTCCATCAGTTGGAAAGAGTTTAATTTTTGATCATCTCTGAACAACTTGCTGTGCACAGAGAGGAGTTTAGCAGGCTGTCCCATAGAGAGGTGCTGTGCCGTGCCTGCTCGTTCCTTCTCTCGGCTCCGGCTGTACTGTAACGTCCATGCACCTGGGAAGAGACTGAGGTTCTTCTGGATCCTGCCGTGCCTCCTGCCATGCAGGACACCGAGAACTTCCTCCGCCTCCAGACGGAGCAAACGGCCTCTCAATCATCTGCTCAACTCTCTGGATTTATAATCCCCCAGTTGAGGGCTGCTGATCACATCAGTGATTTTTCCTTTAGAACAAAAGGGCAGTCTCATCCAGTAGATGTCACATCAAGAAGAGTTGTAATGGGAAATCATCTTACAGACACTGATTCTATTCATCTTTCAAACTACTGTTTAAAACCAAGCCCACTTGCCCTAAGATACGACAGTCTGATTTATGGATAACAAAGACGGCTGCTAAGCAGGAGCACGCAGCTGTTGATTATTACCAAAGGCACAGGACTGGTTTTCATGAGCTGTTATGACACAGGTGGAAAACCAGAATATCCTACCTAATATTGTGCTAGCCTTGGACTAGAGAGTGTTATGAGCATGAACCCTAGAACAGTTTGTTCAAGCGCCTTTCATCCTCAAAGTAGAAGAACCATAGCTCTCGCTTTGACATGTGTATTTCCCCTCCTCTTCCCCATTCCTTCTTACAAAGAAATTATAAAATTGCTGGGCATAAAGGCAAAACTCTTGCTGCCAGATTGGCCTCATTTCCTATAGTGTGTTTTAGCCATGTGGATTTTCTGTGCCTATTTGAAGGAAAGGAAAAAAACATACTATTGTATAAGCTGTACAGGGAAATATCTGGGCCAGAGCTGCACAGATAAGCACACGCCGGACAATACTTTTAAATACTCAAATTAACAAAAACTGGCTTGGAAACCGTTTTTAATTTGTCAAACAATCCTCATCAGTGCTGCCATGGGCAACAAAAAATGTTAGTTAAACTCCAGAGAAAAAGTGAACTCTTTGGCTGCTGTCCCCTTCTCATAGATAGCATAAAGGAAATAGATGAACTGGTGTAATGTCATAAGCAGAATGATTTTGAAAAACTAAAATACTGACCTTTTAGAAGAAAAAAAGCCCCCAAAACACCACATGCATTAGTCATAATCAAAATATTGTGCATAATACAGCTTCCCAAGAGATTTGGCTTTGTTTCAGAGCCACCAGGGTTCAGCATCAAGTACAAGACTGTTTACTTGCCTTCACACGAGTAACACAGCACGAAGGAGAAACCGCGCATCAGAGCCACAAAGCCAAAAGGGACTTCAAAAGATCGTCTGGTCCATCCCTTTGCCAAAAGAAGGATCAACTCTACCAATGCCATTTCTGACATGTTCTTCTGTAACCTATTCTTAAAGATCTCCAGCAATGGAGGCACCACACATCCTGACAATCTGTTCCAGTTCACTATTTTCATCACCAGAAAACTTCCAAATCTCACCAAATCTTGCTGCAGTTGAAGCCCATGACTTTTTGATCAATTTATCATGGGCAGTGAGAGCAAAACTCCTTTCTTTAAAGCATCCATTTATGAATTAAAAGAACATGTTTCCCCTCTTCTCTGATTAAACACTCCAGTTCTTTCACCTTTTACTAGTCAGAGTTTCAAGTCCCCTGATCCCCCCTACTGCTCTCCTCTCCACTCGTGTTAGTGATAGTTAATTGTGAAAGAGCTCAAATCGTTTCATTCTGCTTATTCACCTTTATAATAGCCAAGAACCTGATCTCTGACCTACTGCACTGGCATGTACCTATGAGGTTGTGGATGTTTTGAGGAGGATTTTAAAACAAGTGTGTTTTGTTTTGCTGTGTGCATGGCTCTATGTGAGTGTGCACATGCTTTGTGTTTGAGTTACAAGATGCTCTTGCAGAGTTGGGTAATTTTACATACATTGGAGGCTATTTCTCTGTTTATACACACTCCAGTATTATATTACTTTTTTCTACAGGACTATGTGATCAACCGTGACATTTTTCTTTCCACACCATTCAAACTCAGTTCACGCTTGTTCTGCATCCTCTGTTTGCATATCCAGTTACCCCTGTCCAGGCACTGTTCTTTATACAATATACTTTCACATGCTTCGATAGAGATCAAATCAGAAATGGTGGCAAAACATTTGACAATAACCCGACAATTAAATATATTTGACAAATTAACTATTCAACAGTATCCTTATAATTAAAAAGGATGCTCAAACTTCCACAAAGATAACTGCAAGCAATGCACACTTCTGCCAGGCAGCTCTATAGAAGGCAAGAAAGGTCTGATACCCATCCTGAGACACAGAAAAAGATCTGAGCATTGAACTTTGATTCTTCTAGATAAGGAAAATTTACCACACAAGTATAGCTCATGACCATTGCTACTAGAACAGGCAAGCTGAGGCCAACAGCCATTTGTTCCTGAACCTTCAACAGGTCTTGAGATGACAGAAGAGCTTTGACATGAGCTCAGGATAACATGAGCTGAATTTTGCTAAAAGGGAATCAAATTACAGTATCATTATACTGCCAGGATACACTCTGTGCGTCTCCAGAACAGCTTTGTTAACTGCACAGAAAATACTGCAAAGGGCACAGACTCTTAAAACACATCATTCAAGAACAGTAACAATAACCTCCTGTTGCTGCTCCCCACCCCATTCCCCTATGGAACCAGTACTCCTGCCCACTTCAGGAAATGCCAGTCACAGCAGGTTGAATCATCTTGGATGACTCCTAAACAAACCCTAATCTGGATTTAGTTTAGCAGGCAACATGCAGACATGATTCAGTTTGGCATTTTTAGTAAGTGTACATACACACTTGTATAACTAGCATAAGATACGCTTTCATCATCATTTAACAACTTTCTACCTCTGCTGTCCAAATGGAAAAGTCAAACCAAGTTGTAGAGTACCATGGCTGTACCAAACATCCTTGTTTTGCTTGCACTTGACTTAAGCAACATCTGTCTGCTGCCCATGGTAGCTGGCAGTTGTGTTTCAGTGTGGTTCTTCACCCTTACTTACCTTCCTCTTTGCCTACGACTGAACCCAGCACAGAACAGGAAAACTGTCAGGGTACAAAGACAGCCCGCCACTTTGGCATGATTTAAATCAAAGCATTAGCACTGTGCTCATCAGCAAACTATGCGAGTGCCTGTAGCGCATGAGATACTATGTATGTGTTTATCTTTGTTCAGTGAGAGGAGCATCTTTGACTATTGAGAACATAAAGCAGCATGTTTCCCTGCTACATTCACATTCTGGCTCACTTAGATTTGTTTGTAGGTCACTAATATCTTTCCGTTTCATTAGTTACAGGAGGCTCATTTAAAAAAAGAAAACAGAACTGTAGCAGTCACTTTAGAAAGTGTTTATTCAAAATTTTCATAGCACCATCTTGTTTTTTTTTTTAAAACATCCAAATAAAATGCAGCAATTAAAACATCATTTTTCTGTTGAGCATGACACTAACTCCACCTGTGAACATATTTATGGTTGTTCTTGCTAATATAACTGAAAAATAGCGCTCCTGTGCACACAGACATGGCACTGGGCCTTGATATGGGTTATCCAGTCCTAGCTCAATAATGGGAGAATAAAACCAAGTGAAACTGGAAACCTCAAGGAAACAGTTTCTGCCCCCCCAATTCTGCTGGAAAAATTTCCAAAGATGATTTTTTTAGCAGTTTCAATTCTTATCTACCCTCCAAGACTTCAGCAAAACTAAAAATGTAAATATATAAAGTATTTTGGGCATTATTTTATGGTACAAGTCAGACCATGGATGGTTACTTTATAAGTGTATTGATATACTTGTTCTAACAATCACCTAGCTGTTAATTCTAAAGGGCCTTTTATGGCCATCTTTTCTAAGGAAAACACTGGTCAAAATAATTCTAAGTTACTACACTGTTTTTTATTAAAAATTTAAGGTAAAATCAAGCTGCCATTGACAACACTTGCAATACATTGTCATGATGAGTTGTTGGTTTTTTTTTTGTTTGTTTTTTTTTTTTTCTTTTCCCTTTTTAGTTTTGCAGGGTAGCCTGTCTGAGAGCTTTGTTCAGTCAAGTCAGTAAAGCGCTATTTCCCAAAGATCCTTAACTTACATTTCAAGAATAGCGACCATGCTGAGTGCTTGGTCACATTATCATTTGGCTATGGCTTCCAACCACTGGAATTCTCTATTGCATCTACTTCTGGTTGACCGTTAAGAGGCAAATATTCTGTAGTTCACTTGGCTAAAGCCCCCATAGGGTCCCAGGCTGGCAAAACAATCGGTTCCTGCTGCATCACTGCCAAGATGTCTTCTGGTACGTGCTTCTTATCCACCACAACTTCGTACACGTACTCAGAAAACCAGTCATCAGTCATGATGAGGTAACCTGGAGATGAAAACAGTTCATTACAACAGAGAACCATTACAATGAAGCAGTCACATATACAAGTTTCACCTATGAACGATGCATTACAAACAGGACCTAGTCATACTTCAAATCTCTCAAGACAAAGAAATGAACATGTAGGCTAACTGCATCTACTTCATGTGCAGTGAAAGACCAAGCATGAAGCCTGCTAGGAAAAACAAGACCCAGAATATTAATCATTTATGCTTCCTCTGTTAAAATTGGCATTGAGAACGCTCAAGTGAATTACAATGTCTTAAAAGAAAAAAGGCCTTTAAAGCAGAATGTAAAGTTATCCGAGTCTCTGGCTTTAGAGGTTTTCAGGTTCTTTAAGAAAAGGGAAATTTTCCAGGTTAATATCCAAACCAACTTTGGTTCAAGAAAACTTTGCTGGTTTAGTTCTTGCTGTAAGAGGAGGCCGTCTGCTTTCCTCAAACATAAAGCCATTGAAATCACACTTCAGCTGAACTAAATCTTAATTTTCTCCCTTAATATAATTCTTACTGAGAATTTCAGTGAACAGCCTTTGAACTAGGGGGGGAAGTCACATTTAGAGTATGACAGGTTTTAGCAGAAAGCTGCCATTGGAAACAAACTATTCAAGGTGAACTGAAAAAAGAGCAGCTGGGAGAAAGCAAGCATTTATAAGACAGATGGGAAGGCTTTATGTAATAAAGTTCCCCGTGTCCTTATACAGTATCATCGCACAATCAAATGAAACAAGAAAATGTCCAAAGAATATGGACAATAAATGCATCTATCTACACCATCTTGTTTCTAAAGCAAGAGATCAGATAATTGCCATAAATTAAAAACCCTATCAATTGTAATCCGAGCTAGAAGCCATTTTGGAAACACTGCCAAAGGGAGCTGCCTTGATTATTCTGTCTTCAGGATATGAGTTCTCGGGACACACAAAAACCTCTCACTCCCAAGAGCCAACAAGTAATTGCACCCTGAGAGGATAATGAACTCTGCTGCTGACATCCTGTATCTCAAAGCTTGACAGGGCTGATTAGGATCACAGTGTCTGAACAAGAAGGAAACGTCAAGCAGAACTTCAGAACATGCAAATAAGGAAGGTCGCTCTTTGACAAGGCCTGTGCCCAGTGTCACAATGAAAGCCATTATCAATTTCTTCATTAAAAGGAGACACATACTTTATTCGCAGCAATACATATAACCTCAGAGCCTGCCTAAGGCAACCCTGAGCTCTGCACTCCATGCAGGTAACAGGCAGAAGTAAAAAAGAAACAGAAAGTTTATTGCATTTCTGGGCAGGGTACACAATGGAGTTGTACCTCCATTGCGGGCAATTAATCTACTGCTTCTACTCAAACCATTTCTATGTCAAGGCCAGAATATGGTAAAAAACTTGGAACAGCATCATCTTGTTGTAACAGAACAATACCTGTCAACGAAAGTGTACTCTTCGGTATGAGGCTGGTCCACGTTCCCCAGCGTGGCTGGGCCCACATTCCCCAAAAGAAAACCTCAACATTCAGCACTTTAAAACCAAGAAGCTGCTGGCCAGGGAGAGGTCAGCTAAGGACAAATGGCCTGCGAGTTATTGCACAATCTAGGATTTGGGCACCTGAAAATAAAGCCCTTGCAAAGTTCCCAAAGGACCTCATCAAGCCACTTTGTGCTTGTGCCGTAACTCCTCCACAGGGAGGACAAATTAGCAGAGCCTTTCTGTCATTGTGTACTTATGGGATGATATATAGACATATATATGAATACAGACACAAAATGTCTACAGTTAAATCCTTAAAATGTCTTCACGCAAGAAAGTATGTATGCAACAGTCAGTACAAGAGATTAAGAGCCAAAAGGGAGCTGACTTCTAGCTGGAGATGTACCACAAGAAAGTTCTTGTAATGCCAAAGCAAACAGATGGACCCCTATCAAATCAATGTGATAATGTGATTTAGCGTTCCCCTCTTGCTTGCTTTTAAAAAAAAGATATCCAATAGGATAAGCCGGGTTCAAAGTTAGGTAATAATGTACTATGTCTCCAGAACAAAAGAGTACGCACAATAATTAAACTTGCCTGTATGGCTGACAAAGTGCCAGTAAAACACAGAAAGGAAATATTTGACTGAGAAGTGACTTTTTTACCTCAAAAAACCAGGCAATGTTTGTCAGCAGCTGCATTTGTTCCTTGAGGAAAAACAGATGGGATTCCAAGAAACACTTTTACAACAGATACGAATGTAATTACTAAATATTTAGGAGAAGTAATGCGAGGCTGTTCCCAGGGCTTCCCTTCCTCTAGGACAAGCACTACCACAAGAATTCAGTGCTGCCCACCCTGTGGAGAGTGAGCACAGAAATAACTACACCCTGTGATACCCAAACCAGGAGTCAGAGCCTTTCCAGCGCTGCACCGTGCGAGTCGGGGCAGATAGGTGTTCCCTGGCACCTCAGGCTGGACTCGGAGAAACGCAAGAGGGAACTCATGTGAAAAAGCACTTCAATTTTCTACCAAGGAGGAGTCATTTGTTTGGTTGGTTTTTAATGACTCAAGATCTAGTCTCTGGTGTTTTGTTGTGGGCTGTACCCTTTATCATCCTGTCCAAGATATAATGGAGTTAGGGCTTACTTGTATCCCCCACACCCAACTGGGCCTCAACTGGGATGTGCCAAGTTTAACATCATTCTTGGCTGCCTCTTTACTGATGTGGATTCTGGTTGTCTGCACAGGACTGATCCACGCACGGCTTCCCAATTCCTTAACAAGGCAGATAAGATTAAAAAAATAATTAAATAATAAAATCACTGCCAGACAGACTCAGTGGCATAGCAAGAGAGCTAGGGCAGACTGCAAACCCTCACCCTCCTGCCCCAGCTAGTACTGGATGTTGAAGAGTGAAAAAGCAGGGCAGGAGGAAGGGAAGGAAACCCTGTCAAGTCACCTCTTCCAATGTTTGAGAACGAGCTCTGAAGGATATGTCCAATTGTCTTTAGCTCAACAGTGGGTTGCTTGGTCATTCGTAAGAAAGTCATTCAGGGATTCACCTCCCTGAAAAAAGTAGCCCGAAATAGAGTCAAGCATCCTAGTTCTGAAGGGATTTTCTGTCAAGGCACTTTTCCAGGCAACTCCCTAACCAAAACAAAATGCAGACAGTGAGCAAGACTTTCCAGAGACCGTGGTCTCTACCAGTACAAAACAGATAAGTGACAGTGACTCACCCAGAAAAGTTGACATAGATGGCATGCATGCAATACATGCATACAAGATACAGGCAGGGTTTATTCAACTCACTCTGGGGTCCTATTATATTTCAAAGGAGCAAGTAGCTCCTCTTGAATGGCTCTAGAACTTAGTCTTGAAAAATGAATCCATATTTGGAAAAGAGATAACATCTAAGGAAGATAAACTACTACTGCAAACCAAGTAGCAAGTTAAGCTTACAAAGCTGGCAAACAAGTTCCAAGGAATACTCAAAGAATACTAAGTAACAGGGTTAATTTCGTGTTATTTTTAACTTAAAGCCTGAGGCACTACACTTCTTTCGTTTCTCATTGCTGTAGTTTTTATTTTTTGAGTTTGGATTACATGCTGAAAGTGAGGAAAGCCAAAAACACATGTGGCTCTCCACACGCATCTATCACAGCCTCCACAGCTCCATCAGAGCTTTCGCTGATGCTCCAGCCCAGTAACATTAACGTACAACTGCTGCTGCTCCGTCACAGCTCAACAGGTACAACGCTCATCAGCGGTGTCAGGCTTCAGCCTACTACACTGTGGTTTGAGGGTAACAGCCAATATCCTGAAATTGAGCCCAGCCTTTCTCCGGTTCTAATAAAGAACATCTCTGAACCTTGGCCAAGGAGCGTATATGACTAGCCCAAAGTTGCTGACAGACACCTACTAACTTCAGAACATTTGGAGTACTAACCAAAGTCCATGCTGAGCGGTTGTAAAGCAAGCTGAGTAAGGCACTTCCTTCCTGGAAGCATTCCTCTAACAGTAGTAGCTTCTAACATCACAAACCAAGTATCTGGAGTGTCTCAAAACAAAGTGTTCTGACAAAAACAGCACAACCCAGCATTTTTATATTTTATAGGCTCTATTAGACATAAAGGTGCGTAACAAAATAGTTACTCGTTTGTATTTGAAGACAAGAAAAGTTTTGATGTTACCTCTTTAGTATTGATTTGGCTTCTTTACTTAATCCAACATTCCAAAGTACATTTTACTACTGTCACACTGATGAGCCTTGAAGGCTGAACATAAACGGTTTCATTGTTTTGTCAAGACTAAAGATTTTTATTGGAACACTCTGCTGTGAATGCATACAGCTAACTCAGAACAGACAATACTGCAAGACCAAGGGGCCAGAACATAAATTAAGACACTGTGCCAACAATATGCTACATTTTAGTGCGCTGTTCGTGTACAAGATATCAAAAGCTTATGAATAAGACCACATCCTAAACCAGAGTTCTCCGGAAATAGTCTATTCTGGGAAGAAACCCCAAACATCTTGGGAAATTTCAGCCATACCAAATCTTGTAAGCACAACATTTGGGATTAATGTGCAACAGAAGAATGTGGTCAGCAATGACTATTGTGTTATGCCCTGGGACACACTGAAGTCTGGCTTGGCATGCTCATCAGCGAGCTGGCTTATCATGCCAAGGTGGAGTCCACATCTGGCCTGTCTCAGACAGGAGATGACAAAAATCACGGAGATCTCGCTCCACTCCAATCATTTAGGAAAAGCTGACTGACTGCAGGCCTTGGCAGAGCAAAGTGGAAATGCTCTCACACCGTCAGCCCCACTCACCCAGGGCGAGGGGAGCTCAGAGCTGCCCCTCACACCAGGCAGAGAAGGTCATGCCCAGGCTGAGCAGGGAAGTAACTAGAAGCAATTCCTAAACCACCACTCAGCTGTGACTCACCCTTGTGTACACAGTGCCTGCCCATGTGCCATGCCAGGCTGGCTCATCCCCCCGACCTTACAAATCCTTTCTAAAGGAACAACAGCGCAGGCTGAGACAGTCATTGACAGGAAAGCAAGTTCATGCAGAAAACCTGGCAGGAGCGGAACTGCATGTTAACTGTGAATTTTGTTGTTGCTAGTGCTTGTCATACCACACAGGAACACCACAAAGATGCCACAGGTCATGTTTTCAGCACGGTTTCAGAAAGGCAACCAGAATTATGATTTCCCTCCCCCCCCGACAGGTTTTGGAGCTAGAACACTTTCTATTGCAGCTGTTCACAGCATAAGCTGGAACCAGCCATACTCTCATTTCCTCATTTACAAAATTAGTAAGGAAAAGCTCACTTTTTGTGATTGATAAACAGTGCTTTAAAAAAAAAAAAAGTAAACTACTTAGGTTTCACACGTGACTCAGGAAGATTATTTAAGGAGTATCAGCCACAGCCAGCATGAGGTCCCAAAGATGAGACAGCTGTAGTTTACAGATTTAAGCTTAGTTCTCTTACAAAAAACTTTAGTACACTTAAAAGTATTGCAGTGAAGTTAGACAGTCTGAATCCATTTGGTCTGGTGACAGAAGTCTACCAGCATCTCCCCATTACCTTCCATGCACTAAACAAACAGTGTGGTTATTAGATTGTAAAAAGCTGTAGCAACCTTCCATGCACTAAACAAACAGTGTGCTTAGACTGTAAAAAGCTGTAGCGTAAAGACAACATATACCCCATATCATTAAGTTATATTCAGAGTCCCAGTTCCAGCCTCCAGAGGGGCTTCTGTCACCTTTGTCCTCCTGCCCTTGGGACCAAGATGCCCTGTCTGTCAACAAGTCTCAGTGTCAATCACTTATGCCATCTCCCCAAAAAATGCAGTTGCCTCTACAGTGGAGCTTGCAACCACAATGTCAAGTTTATCCAATGATATTTCCTGCTTCTCCATTCAATGTTTACATTCAATTCACTTAGATGTAAATCACATTTAAGTGAAGAATATTCATCTTCCAGAATTAGTGCCATAACTCTGATTGATCACATGCTGTTTACAGGCTTGTTTCATGTGTGTCCTGGTGAAGGACACACAGCATATCCCCTTCCCCCCTTCCACCTCCTTATTTCCAAAGACTTAAGTTCAGCTTTCTGTTCCTGTGACTATACATTACTTTACCTTTATTACCACGGTCTTCACCCCAGGAGTTTTCCACTCTCCATTTTTCAAATGCTTCTTCTTGCCCATCCTGTGACAAAACAAGTCAATGGCTATTCAGTAGTGAAGGACCATGTGAGTTTATAGCAGCCAACCCTTCCAAGCCTAAATCCAGCAGCACAAAACCACAGAGCTCCACTCCCAAAAGCCTACAGGCTCTGGCAAGTTTCAGACAATGGTTTCTTGCTAATGGTTGGAGAAATGTAATTTTCTAAAATACTTGTCTGCCCGCTTACATAAAATATGAGGAAATGTGGTCTAGCAGAGGGCCTGCAATAAATATTTATTTCAGCTAGAAACCTGAAGTTGAACTAAATTCAAGTTTGGACTTAACTGACAGACAGAATTTAAGCAGCCCTCCCTATCACCTATCAGCGCATGGGGGCCTTCCGAAACACAGAACGCACAACTTGCTTGAACGAGGGATCAGAGGAAAGGAACAAGGGCAGTGAAGCGACTGCAGTGACTCAGAACAGGATTAGTAAGAACAAGTGCAAACACTTGAATGGAGCTGGAGGATACAGCTCCAAGCTAGGTGCCTTGAAGGATATACAAGGCTTCTAACGAGTATGAAGTACATTTGGCTTCATGTTCAGAAGCGTGCAGTATATTCTACCCTGCGCTGTCTCAAGTCTGGTTCAAATCTACCAAGTGCATAAAAGCACGGCAAACAGCTTCCCAAGCTTGCTGGGCCACCAAGCGAAGGGCTGCTTCCGTCAGGCAGCCTCTCAGGAGGCAACAGCAGGTCCCTTGAGGAACCAAAGAACAGTTATTCCTTCGCTACTAAGATATTTTTTCAATACAAAAAACTAACCTGCAAAACACTCCATAAATCCATTTTTAATATTCAATGGAATATTGTTGTATTGCTTCTATTCTCACTTAAAAAAATACAGACAGTCCTTAAAATGAGACATTCAAGAGCTACCAGACTAAGGGTAAGTCAACTCTTGATGGTCTCAGACAGAAACTGGGATAAACATGTTTATGTACATTACGTTTTTAACCAAAAGGTGCATTTAATCCACATCAATTTTTTATGTTGTAAAATTGTAATAGGATTTTTTAAATCTTCAAAGCCTTTTTACAAAGTAGGTAAATCCAAAGTATTACATTTTACAACTCAGTTTATCAAAGCTCCTTTAGCTTAAGTTAAGGTTTAATATAAGACAACATGTTCAAACAAAAAGTAGAAACAACTTAGTCCATTTTCAATGTGGAAAAGCCTCCAAATGCTGAACTTGTTCTAGGATAATTTCTTTCAAATTATTTTTTGATTTTAGAGATACCATCCATCATATGCAGATCTTATACGCTTCCTTTTCTTTAAGAAATCAGGTCACATTTGATCACAGTTTATGCAACTATACAGTTAAGCATGCAAAAGGATGAATTTAAAGATATAGACTATAGCTGCCAATGAAGTGCAGCCAGTAACTGGCCACACTCCATACAAATATACACACTTCAGCCATGAATAGATAAACAGGTTTTAAGCACTAGAAAACTATCATTTTAAATATTTAACTGAAAAACAATGCAAGTTTTTTTAAAGATGTGTTCATGCAGTCCGATATACAAAATAGAAGTTTTAAGAGCTCAGAATACAACAGGAAAAATTAAATTGAGTTGTAAAAATAACTCAGAAAAATTCTTATGACTCAGCGGTCCCATCTCAAGCCCTCAAACTCCAAAGCTCAAGCAAACTTTCAGCTGTATGCAAGCTGTTATTTCTGAAGCCAAGGTCACGTTGGACAGGAAGAGATCACTTCAAAGAAACTTTAATAATGACAACTTCTGGAAATAAATGGAAAACATCAACATTGCAGATAACCCCGAGTTGTAAATTTTCACATGGTTCTTTTTACTTCATACGTGCTTTGTTATACTGCCAGGAGCAGATTTAGTTGTGCGTTCATCTCAGCCTACTGTCTGCCACAGAGTTATTTTGGACACCATTTTCCTTCCCTAATTACAAGTAGGTCAGAGAGGTCACATGCCAGTGAGCTGCAGGAGGTTACCATTGTTCCAAAGTGCCTCCTACTGGCATTTTAATAGAAAGAGTTTCATGCTGTAAAATACAGATTGGACTAACCCATGCAGTGGGATAGGGTAGGAAATACCTGCTACCGTACTAGATTTCTTGCTCAGCAAGATATATCAGTCTGTATTTAAAAAAAAAAATAAAAATCAGTTAACATAAGTTTTCTGGCATCTTAAAAATAGAAGCTGACTTTATTTTCCTTTCTCCAATAAAAGTTTGTGGGCAGAAGGAAAAAAGACCTTGACTTGTCCAGAATTCTTCCCTCCTTGTTAAATATTTATAGCGCTAAACACTCAGACACAAACAACACAGGGAGAATAGACAACCTAGGCCCTGTGGCGCACACACACACACTGAACTCTAGCAGAACAGCTTACACACTGCGAATAAGCCCCAAACACAAACAAGCTGCCAGAACATTCCACAACATCTGTACAAGCATCAGAACTTCTGGAGGGAGACTCTACCTTCTCGGTGACAGCCGTCAGGACCATGGCGTGGGTCATCATTGATTCTCCAAAGATTAATCTATCTGCTTTGTTCATGTTCTTGACAGAGACACCAAACACCAGCTCATGGTTAAATCTATTAGAAAGCCACAAAAGCAAAATCAAAAAGGAGGCAGGGAGGATTCTCACTAGTAAACCAGATGATCAGCAGACTGCACTGTCCCAGGAGCCACTGCACGGGTGTATAAGTTCAACTATTTTTAGCGTCAGAATAAATGCAAACACTGATCCTTTTAGGAGTTTCTCTCACTGGATACTAGACAATCCAAATGAATAAGAATATTTAACAATTGCTTGTAGCACATCTAAGGGATTGAGATTTTAGCTAACAAGTGAAAAAAAAACCCAACCCACAACATTGCTGCTGCATTATTACTTAAATATAGTCCTTTTGGGTATATAATCCAAAGTATGGTCAAATTAGTTTCTTAAGCAGCCAAGGCAGTGTTTATGTCCTAGCCAAGTATCCCAGATAGTATTCTGTTTTGATTTTCTACTTACATATTCATGTCATTGATTCCCAGCTTGCCATAGAAGTGCTTTGCAACATCGCAGCCAAACCACACAGCCTACAAATAGAAGGAAGAGTCACGTCTAGGCCACATCCCAGCGAGTTTTACATTACAGAGTTGCACCATGTCATCCATGAAGAGAAACCAAACCAACCTCGCCATCCTTAATAGACGCTGCAGCTAATTTTTTCAAGACATCAACAGGCTGGTTGTTATAGAGTGTTTTCCTCCCTCCTACCATGTTGCTCAGGTACTCCACTGTATACAGCCTGTTGTACGGGTTCTGAGGTCGAGGATCGTTCACTAGACAAATCTGCCAAAACACACAATGTCATAAATTAAGGTGCAACTGAACTGAAATCTTTGAGAAATGAATCTAGATGGATTTCAGAGAATTGCTTTTGTCCCAGCTAGCCGTCTGCTCATTAGCAAACAAGCTGCTTGGCTGAAATACCAGGTTTAAGGTTTTTTTGTTTATTTGTTTTTTTGTTGTTGTTATTCCTGCATGTTATTCCTGCTCTCTAATGGCCATCTTATGGCATTTTATGACTGATTTGATCATCACATATTTTATCATTACAAAATCATCATGGAAGCACAATGTAAGATCGCAGCTAATTGAAGGGTAGAGCACAAACAGGAGAATGTGGAGAATAAACAGAGGGCCACCTTTGACTTGTGGGAGTGGTTCCCAGCCCGTACGCTGCAGTTACAGGGGTGGAGAGTACACTTACAACAGTGGAAAATAAGTGGCTTAACAACAAAAAAAGTCTTGGGAGGCTACTGCCTTTCAACATGCCCAAACCTTGTCCTCCATGTTGAAGTAAGGCTTCACATGTTCATTGTAGAACTGGACTGGTGTCATGGGGCCATATTTGTGGTAGTTCTTCTCCTTATCCCGGAACTCCCAGCAGAAGGTCTCCGGAGGGCTGCCCAGGCAAGTACTCACTATTCTGAATACCTGCCCAGAGAAGCAAACAGCTGTGAACTTGCAGAAACATGCAAGTCTGCCTCTCCTACCACAGCAATGCCATGGACAAATGGATTTCTCCACATGAGAACCAACTGGAGAAATGGGACCTTAGCAGCCATGTTTGAAGAACATGAATAAATGTAACACATGAATTTTTTTCATTCAGCTCTGGAAACCTAGGTGTTTCAACAATTCAAAGCCAACCTGAAAAGCCACAGAAAATCAACAGAATCTCTCCATTCTCACACTCTACGTTCTCAAGTAAGCCATCAGGCTAAACAGAAGCATGAGGCTGAACATATAAATTCCAGGTTATGCTAGGAAAGCAGCAGCCAAAAGCAAAAGCCAATACACCGCCCAGTCTCATTCCAGTGTTTCATAAGTAATTCTGAAGCTCCTCCAAGAAGATACTTTCCCAGTGCAAGAGAAACTTTATCAAACTCATTCTAGAAAGGCTAAAGCATTCAGCATCACCTGTTCCACCTGGTGGTCTGCCCCATACAGAGACAAACCAGCCCTCCTAACATGCATACGGCAAAGCCTTTTATCCCACTGTTTCCCCTGTACTAATCCCTGTTTTCCTGTAATGTTCATTTGGATTTCAAAGATGGGCCTTTGCATCTTTTCAAAATCCGAGAATAATCTTCTCGTCTGATTTAATACATTTAACAATGTCTCAGTTTAGGGTTAAGCTGGCAGCTTATGTAATTTAAGATCCCTGCCTGCTGACTGTGGCATCCCTTGCAGCTGGCAGCTTTCTATTGATTTTTAGCAGAAAAAGTTGACCAGATTAAGTCATCAGCCTCCCTATAAATCAGAATATGAAACAGCACTTAAGAATCACTACTGTACTTTCTTATGGGGCTTATCATAAAACGTGCTAACTCACAGGCACTGTAACCAGATGACTGTCTTTGGGGATATTTAGCAGAACCTGCCACAGGTACTATGGGGACAGAGAATTCAATCATATTCAAACAAGTTTGAATCTGTTTTACTTCAGCTGACATGGGTCTGCTTCAGCTCTGTCCATGTCTTGAGCACAAGAGAAATCTTTTCCTTGCAAGGAACCAACAGGTTGTTTAAAATAAGAGAGGGGGAGTCAAAGAGTCACATCTCAACTGCACTTTCTGCACTAGGATCCAACGCCTGCGGTTTGTGCCAGCTTTCCTGGGCTGTCAGCCTTCACATTTTCTTCCCACTGACTTTTCACAGGAGAGGAGACAGAATACCTTTCCCAAAGCTGACTTACTCTTTCTGGAGCTACTCAAGCTGATTTATATGGATCCTAAGGCTCCATAAGAACTAGCTTTGTGCTAATGCGCGCTTTGTGCTGATGACAAAAGGGAGTGCAGTATTCATGCTAAGTAACACTATTTGGCCGTGCACAAAATACAAATAAAGGTATCCTTGCTCCAAGCAATTTAAGAAAACAAGAGAAGAGATTAATTATGGGTTGAAACAAGGGTGTGGGCTTAATGTTTCTACTGGAGGAACTCACACATTTATTTCTCAATAAATATGTTAAAGAGCAAATGTAAATCCCTTAACTACTATAAATATTTAATTTTGCACAGACTGCACAAAAGGTATCATTTGCTGTGGATACACCCACATTACCTCAGATAACCCCAAGTGGCAAGAGATGAGGCTATGAAAACAGAACAAGCAAGAAAAATGCCTAGAAGGGGAACAACGAGCAAAGGGGCTCCGACCAGAGGAAGGAAAATGATGGAGACAGAAGTCTCAAGTTAACAGAGGCAGTGGAAGCGGGGAATGGTCTCCCTCAATTGTTTTGCCACCACACCCATCGCAAGCCATCTCTTAGTATCTCACAAGCTTCCTCTATCAATAAATAAAATAAGGAGACACATTTAAGCTAAAAGGTGACTTCTATCACTACAGTGACAACTAGAACCAAGATAAGGCAAAGATATAGTGGCTTGTGCTAAACAACAAAATGAACAAGGAAGGGAAAAGGAGGACACTTCTGATAAGGAAGAGTCTACAAAGGAGAACAGTAAAGGAAAAAAAAAAAAAAAATCACATGCACTGCAGTGATTTCAACTTCTGACCTGCTGTGCATCAGTTTGATAAGAAGAATGTTTGTACAGTTCTGGAGTGAATACTTAGTCTTGTGTTCCAGTACAACTGCTCCATTTTAGCCTCCCAGCATACACAAACCAAGGTTTGCGATGCAAATAAAACTTCACAGAACAAACCCAAGTTCTGCTTTGTCACATACAAAAACAGATGCAGTGCCACTTATATATATAAACACATGAAATAAAAGACTGGTCTCAAACCTTTAAAACTTAAGTGGTTTTAAAGTGTACAAGACAGGTGCAATTGCATGTTTCAACTACAGTGTTTACTGAAAGTAAATCACTTAAGTTGCAAACCACTATTACCAGTGCAAGAGGAAATACTGTGTTAACTTCAGAGAATTAAGCACAACATTTTTACAGGTCAAACAAATTGCAATTGGTTAATGAGTCTTTAATGCTGGTTCCAGGATCCCTTGTCAGAGGGCAAGAGAATCTAAACAAATGAATAGACATTTTGCAGTGAACTGTATGTCATTGCCCTAAAAATGAACATCTCTAGGAAGCTTCTGATGTCTGCTTTAAAATCCTCCAAAGGCTTTTGGACGCACACACTGGATGTAAGTTCTATTAATGCACTTTCGAGCTACGTGCTGATTGGCAGCACACTGGGGTAGGCTCAAAGCACAGAATTACTGTTGATCTTAAGGCATACACTTCATAAAAGTTTTAGTTTCAATGATATAACCCAAGGAACGTGAATCAGTTCTCTTTTTTAATCTAACCTTAAAATTAGATGAAAAGAAGCTACAGGTTTATACATGAAGTACAAAAATGAATTTCCAAAATACAAACCAACACATTAATCAATACTTGCCTATCAGTGGAACTGACTGAAGCTTTACAGATAACAGCCCAAAGTAGGTTCTGTCTGATACTGATGTTTACTGGATTGCAGAAAAACTAATACACAGAACCAAAACATTTGATTTCTTGAGTCATCTAGTGACAGATATTAAAACCACTGGGTAACTTTGCATTGTATGTTTGAGAAACAAGTGAAATATATACTTTTTTAAAATGCATGCACTCAGTCAAACTACAACAGCCTGAACTTTTAAAATTGCTTTTAGCTATTTAAAAATCAAATCTGAGGACTACTGAATAAGAAAAATGATGTGCCACTGTCATACTCAGTGTGAACAGATGGAGGGCCAGCCACTACACACACACTGCCTACTACAGACTTGCTGATGGATTTGATTTTGAGTTAATTCACACAGCCAGGAGCAGATGCTGTAATTCTTTCCTCTGCTGCTCCTCAGTATCAGACCGCAGCTGGATTCAGCCTTGTGTTCAGCTCACACCTTTTCCATAATGCAGAGAACTCCCTTTTGTTGTTCTTTCCTGCTCTCTTGTGGGGAATTTCTGCAACAACACTTGCGCGGTAAGATTTTACATTCAAAGCCATCAGAATGCAGTTTTCAACCTGCCTCTTTTCTACTATTTATAAAAGCCTGATAGGCCCCTATTTTGATCTCTCAGGATACAAAATGCTGCTTTCCTACAGAAAGAGGCAGATGTCTCTGTCAAGTGTCCTAGTTCTGGAATCTGTAAGTTCAAGATATTTGTCTGGAAGTATCAGAAAACCTCAGAATGAGCTAAGCAACAAGCCACTTCAAAAAAATTCACTTGAATACTGCAAAGCGCACTGCTGTGCAAAACCTTCCTAGACAGGCAAACAAAAGGCACTTGTTTTGGCTGATCCAAGAGTGAGCAAGAATTCTCATCCATTCTAGTCTTGTGCTCCAAGAAGATTCATGTCACACAAGTATATTTACCTCTTCTATCATCATGTCCATTGCAGCACAAAGTTCTCCTTTCATGGTTCCACCTTCCACCATATTTCTTAGCCGCAAACAGTATTCTCTCATCTGTTTAAAGAGAAAGTAATTTTATTATAATGTGCCACCTAATCCTATCTGGTTGTTTCAGGCACCTATTTTACTCTTCATGACATGTTTTCAAAATGAAAGAAGGCTTTGTTAGATATTGATTCTTGAAAAAAATATCAGGATAGTTGAATGATTTAGAAGTAAAAGATCACAAAAAAATAATCAGTAATTGAGTTGCCACTCAATTACTATTTTCCAACCATTGATTTGAAGCTTACAGTCATTAGCTCTTCTTAAGGCTTGATTTCTCTTGGTTCCGTAAATAATGCTGCAACATCTATATGCATCACCACCTCTGTGACTCACACAGAACAGACTGTCTTCATACTGTAAAATTTATTTTGCAATTCTAATGCATAATTGATCTCTTGGTTGATAAAAAGAATGAAGCATTTCCCCACTGCATGCAGAAGTGCAGTAAGAAGAGCACGTGCTTCCCATTACTGTCACCATCCATAAGGCCGGGAACAGTGAGTGGGGCTCCCTCAAGACCAGCTGGTTTGTAATGTTCAAGACTAGAATAACATTAACACCATCCGTTATGTGTAAGCTCATTTCAGCACATATTTTACATTTTTTATGTGGATTTCAAAAGGCAATCTTCCCTAAGCATGTAGCATATGAACTGGAAAAAAAAATAATCAAAGCCCATTGTAAAAAAAAAAAAAATGCTTTAATTGCCTACTACATTAGCATCTTCCCAGATTAATTCGTTTCTGTAGTTCAGGGAGCAAGCTTACGGCTTCTGACAAAGCGGCACTCTTCTATATTGAAAGCTGATTTTTAAGATTCAGTGTTTTGAAAATACTTTTTTTTTTTTTTTAATCTTTTCCATCAAATTTGGCAGTAGTGTCTAGAAACCTTGACATACTGGTAGATGAAATATTGAGGGAGCAGGAAAATGTCACCTAGATGCCAAGTGCTAGTTTGGCAGAAACAGAATTAATCAGCTGCACACCAAGAATTAACTTTTTGGACACCTGAGGATTAGGGACAATTGCTACTAAAACCATGTGAGGTACTTTCAAGCTGCTGAAGCCTGGCAATGGCCATCTTCCATAAACACACTTTCCTGCTTCATATTTCAAGATTAACATCAGACTTTGCCGAGATTGTAGGCCGCTTTTTGAATAAAAGCGAGTAAAGTTGCCAAGATGCACTTTGTACCTTGGTCAATAAGGAGAAATGAAAGTAAGAACACTTGGAGCAGGATCATTCCCATCCCCTCCCTTTAATTCTATTATCTAAATCAATTTTACCTTATGATTCAAGATCTCATTCATCCTTCTAGTAGCCTCTGTGGTATGAGACTCGGGAAAGTATTTCTTGGGGACAACACCATACTTTTCTAAAATAAAGTGATAAAGCTATGAGTTAACAATTGTCTTTTTGAAAGAGCAGATGCTAGTGCTTCCGCTTATAACCACATAAAAGCTAAATGAAGTTGGGCTTTGTGCAGAGATCATAAGGGAAATTCTCTTATTTAAAGGTTACAAGTATCTGATCTTCATTTCACAGGGATCACAAAAGGTGGAATCCCTGAACGACTCCGTCATTTGGTTCAACACTTTTAAAAGTTCTAAACTAATTCGTGCTATTTAAGAAGCAGTTTTGATCAGAAGAAAAAAAAATTACTTGAAAATTAAGCTCCTGAAATATCTTCTAAAAACCTAAGCCTCTTCTGAATTATTACATGTCTTTTATCTAAGGTTATGTGACTAACTTCCCATCTCCTTTGCTCCTCAACATTTATAAAACACTAGCAACAGCTCAGTTTCTTCCTACATTATGGTACCAATCCAAGATCACACCATGCAAGTCTCTGGATGTAACAGCAGCATCCAAAATCTTCTCTGCCCATTGGATGGGGAAAAAAAAAGTAACCTCCAGGCTTCAAAGAAACAAATTCCTTTTGTGATTCTAAACTTATATTACTGGCTTGTTGATTTACAAAGGTATTGCATTGTTTCACAATACAAATGAAAGCAAATGCTCATGTAATTCAGACAGGGAGAAGTATCTCCTTAATCAGTGTAAGGAAGATCCTGCTTAAGCTGGATCTTTGCAAGACCAGCACGGCCACATTCCACATCATTTCCCTCTCGCTGATCTTTATACCATCTTTCTTCAGGCTGCAACTCTGTAAGTAGTTTTGCTTCTGCCTTGTAGACGCACCCCAGTCTAACCAAGTTGTTTTTTCCTTACCACATGCCCCAAAAATTGTATACGTGGATATAAATAAACGATGTTGAATTGATGACTGAAGTAAAAGGGGATGGAACCTTTTTACTAACTGGAAAGTCTGGGAAATCTAATTACTTCTGTTATTCTACTGGGCTTTTATCAGCAGCAGCAATATGCAAGAGTGGAGGTCCCAGACAAGATTTAAGCCTAATATTTATAAACTGGCATGAAAAAGGTCTTTGATTAAAAAAGGTAGTGGCTAATAGCATCATGTTCCTTAGCAAACTCCCAGGTCTCAAACTCTATTTCTTCTATTTCATTCCTCATCTCTCAAACCACCGTCCAATGTCAGGAAGGACTCCTAACAACCAGTTCTCTTACCAATAATGTTAACCAACATATCCCACTGTCCACCATCATTCGTGGGGTTGGACAGCAGGAACTGTATCAGTCTTCCTTCCACAGGCTCCTTTTTCTGAGCTGTTTCCACAAAGGCATTTAAAAAGTAGTAACAACGTTCGACCTGGAATGGACAGACAGGAAAAATAGCTATTTCAAGTGTGACACTGCATTAATTCATTCCTGAATATTCAGTTCTTCAGAAGTCCTAACTAGATGAAGCTACCTTCTGCTTATCTACTGGAGTTCTTATTTTCCCCCCTAGCATTCCAGGGATTATCCTATAAACTTATTTCTGTCACAGACCAAATATTTAGGGGTGAGTTAGCACATAGCTAGAGAGTAGGGGAACAGGAAATGTGAAACAGAAGTTATGCAATGAAGCCTGGCCTAAATTAGTATTAGATTTTCTTGATGTCCCTTAGGGGGTAAAAGCAGGCACACAGCTGGCAGATCAGCAGGTCACAAACACATCTGAAACCTCAACAGAAAGTTAGTCATGTCTCCCCTGAGCCCCCTACAAGTAACTGTTGAAATGCACAACTATTGAAAGAAGACTTTTTCTATTCCAAAACATTAACATCTTGACAACCTTCTTCTCAAGCTTAAAGTTGCACTTTGGATGACCCACATTTAAAATACATATTTAAAGAACTCTTGAAGTTTCTTCTCATGTATGTTTTCTACCTGGGTTGTTAAGATGGTAGAGCCTAAAAGAAATTCTGTCGCAATATTACTACCCGATTGCACAGGCTGTCCTAGCACAGCCTACGACCTGCAGTGCTGTACCTTATCCCAGAAAAAGAGATACGACTGGCTGAATTCGAACTCTTCGATGTTGTATTTCTTCATGAAAGGAAGACGCATTGCGTTGAGACAGGAAAAGATCCAACATCTCCCTGAGAGATCAAAGGAACAAGAATTAAACTGGAATGTTTAAAAGCTGCGTCAGGATTTTTTTTTTTAAACACACGATCCATGACACCATTCCGCCTCAAGCCTTTGGTTCTGGCTGGGACTGTAAAATACAAAAGAGCTCCTAAGAAGTTCAGAGATCTTTTATTGCAAATGCAGGTCTCTCCATTGATTTTATCTTACGCCATACAGAAGTGGAAACAAGCAAATGCTGCAGGTCTAAAGACTGTTATTAACTCAAGAGGATGCTGCAGGGATTCAGTTCTGCTCAGAGCCCCACGAGAGGCCATCAAAGGCGACCAGCGCTCCTGCGGCGCCATCAGTATGACATCACTCGCTCCCCCAACGCCATCACCCCTCCTCACCGCCACTACTGGAGCCTCTTACCGGAGTTCTTCTGGTTGGTGACGGGCTTGCCCTCGGCGGGCACGGCGTGCTGGAAAACCTGCACCGTGTCCTGCACCACCTGCCGCTGCAAGCACACCTCCAGCGGGTCGTTGCATGTCGCCACGTTCTGGGCCAGCAGGAACCGGGGCTCGGCCCGCAGCCGCCGGCTGAAGGCGGCAGCCTTCTCCGTGCTCAGCCCTGGG